TACAGTCTTCATTGTAAGAAAATATTTTGACTGCATTCAGATCAGAAGAGTTTAATTAAATCTTAATTTAATGGGCTTCTCTGGAATATGAAACTTACCCCAAAAAGGGAAGGCCAGAGATTGAAAGGTGGCAGAATGTCACGTGTTATGTAAGCCATGAATTTCAAAGCACATGTTAATTTACTACTCTGAAGAGACCGGTTAACACATTCTGTTTATATAGCAAGAAAATGATGTTATCTCACTTTTGCTTTGTTTTGAACATCCAAGTTTAATCACAAAATTGCAGAGTAGTCTTCAGTTGGAAGAGACCCACAAGTCCAACCTAAAGTGAATGGCCCATACTGGGATCTAAGCTGCAACCTTGGTGTTATTAGCACCATGCTCTAACCCACTAATAAAACAAAAAGAAGGTAACTAAGTCAGGATTTTTCCTGGTCATTTCACTGAATAAATTATTTGGATTAAAGATTTATGTTCATTTTTTATTTTGGATCAGTATTCTCAAACAGCAGTATAAATTCGAGGAGACTCTTGGTCAGCACAACACGAATGTCACTTGAAAACTACTCAGTTTGTTGCAGAGAACGAGATGACAGTGAGATGTGTTCAGCTGATGTCAGTGAGATACCCACAGCATAGCTAGGAACTGTATGTGGAACTTTTGTATGCCCACACCTAGTATGGTAGAACATTACTGAAAAGTGCAATTTCTTCATGGTTGTAGGCAGGTTTCAGAAATGGTCTGAACAAAATTCTCACTGTCTTGTTAGATTTAGTAACTCCTGAGTACAGTACAAGAAGGCAGTCCTTGTCAATGGCTTTTCTCTTTGTCAAGCTGCTATATGCTGATCCTCTATGACTGATCACGCTGATCCTCCCTAACAACTCTCCATGGCTCCACAACTTCAGGAGTGGAGCTATGAGATGTCCTACAGAGCTATGGAATTACTTCCTGCAACTGTACAAAGTAAGAGTGAGGATGAAATTTTGTGCCAAGTACTTTTAGATGATGTCATCATATTCTTTTGTGTGTGTTATAAGCCAATGCCTTAATGCTTGATGGAATAAAAACAGTCGTGACCTAACAAGCTTAACAGTCACTTCAGTGACACAGATCCTAGCTTTACTGCGCCTGGACTACCCATTCAGCAGAAAGTTTGCCTGTGTATTGAACTTTGAACAGACAAAATCAATGACACTCCCTTATCTTCTCCTGTACAAGTTTTACATGGGGTTTTCTTCCCATTTAGAAATTTAGCACACACTAATTTAGAGTATGAACAAACTAAGGAGTCAAATTCACTAAGAGTAAAAAAAGTTAAAAAAAAAGCACCAAAAAAAGGAAAATAAAAGGAAAAAATAAAGAAGAGATGCTCTAAAGGCTGTTTTGCACACATTTCTATAGATAGGATGCAATTGATACAGCTGGTTTTAGAATGAAATCAATAGGAAACTCTCCATAGAACCTAAGGCAGTGTGTCACCCCAAATACTTAAAAGCTGTTTGTCAGAGTACTTGTTTTCCTTGGTTTTGCTTCTGTCAAACTGAATTGAAGGGATCCAGGTAACAAAATAGTGTAAAGAAATGGAATCTGCAAAGTTGAAAGCACAAGGTACTTGTGAAAAGAAGAGGATTTGCAAGCTGACCTTGAGGCTGAATTTTTCCATTTCCCAGAGAACATCCTGGTAGAAGTCATTTGGTCTATGTCAAATATTCCAAGATAGCACAACTGATATGCCTTGGTACTGACTAGAAAAAAAATCTCTAAGGTAAAAGAGTAATCCACCTTCTAAGATCACTCAAAATTATGTTTATTTGTCCAAAACTGCTACCTTATACCTGCATATTAGTAGCACCAATTTTTAGAGAGTATCTGCCCTCTTGGACTGCACCAACTTGTTTCTCATCCTCTAAGCAGCCACAGGATGGTGTACAGCTTCAATTTTATTCACAGTTTCCTAGGCTGAATTGGATTCAGTGGCCTGAGCTCTGATTTAATGCTATAGGCCCAGTTCTTATTAATAATAAAAATCTTTACAGTATTGTTTTAGAGACACATGGAATTAGAAAATCAATAAACTGAACCACTTGAGCAGAGTGTATTCAGCTATGAATACATGCTCAAAAGTGTTACATAACGCTGGTCATTTCCAATGGAGAGGCTATAACCTTCTTAGGGTCTCTTGGTCATCAGAGACATGTAAAAGGAACTAAGTATAAAATGAATCTTTGTGCTCTGATCTCTACTTCTTCATTGCCAGTACTATGTCATCCAATTACCCTTCATCCTGCTGTGTGACTAGAATTTTTTTGTCATGAACCGTTTTTAAAGTCTCCAATGACAAAAAAGAGAGAAAGAAAAGTTTCCTTCAAAGTCAAGAAGAATAAGATTGATGTCTTTTATTCATGAATCAAACAGTTTAAATTAAAAGATCCAAAGTCCTCATGACTCTAATTTCATTTTGGAGATGGGATTTCAGTATTTAACTTTCTGCAGTTATAATGAAAACTTGCCTGCATATTGAATGATTCCTTCTCTTTTTTCTTTTTTCCTTTTTTTCCTCTTTCATCATAATATTTTTGTTATTGGAATCACAAATACAGAAAAACACTTCTCAGCCAGCTGAGACAGCAAGCAGTAAAATAACTTAATGTTGCAAAGATGTAAGCTTATGCTGAAATGTATGCATGAATAGTCCCATGTGTAAAGTTAATTGCCCAGATTAGCACATAAAGATGATGCAGCACCATAGTACAAATAAACACAAATTACATGGACAAAGACTGAATCTTTTAATTTTAAAAAGTAGTGATTAGAACTTTATATTTCCTCCTTGTCTTTATTTGAAGGGGTGCTCCTCCTGAGCAGTGATTAACTCTGACTGAGGTCTTGCTTAGCTCCTCACCTCTCTGTAGCCTGCTGATTAGAAAGCAGCACCCAGGGCACTTCCTCTCCTGCTGTTGGACTCTAGCGTTATGTGTCTGTTTTATTAACTATTGCATGAAGTGATCTCCATCTAGGGCACACATTTCACAAGGTCTTTTTCCCTCCATCTTTCTGGCAGCTTATTATGACTGAAGTGGAAATGTTACATAAAACAAGCTGTTTATGGAAATCTTATTTCTGTCACATGAGCTCTATTCTGATGTGACAGGCTCTCTATCTGGCTGCAAGCATTAAATGTATTAATTATATCTGCCATTATGCAATTCCTCTCTTATCACAACTGGATTTCATAGACCTGGTAAAATATACTCTGAGCAGTAAAATCATTGCACCTTACCACACTTCAGCGTTTATAACAATCTGACATAATAAGGATACTGTCATTGCAGAAACACCTTCCTACACCCATGTGGGTACTTGAAAATCTGTGCTTTCTCCATCCTCCTACATAAATATAGTAGCTTAGGAACTTTTATGCTGTGCCTTGATTTTTAATGATAAGAGATGTCAGGTACCATTTAAAACATAACAGATGAAAAGGGGCAATTCAGCTTTAACTATAACAGACCTTTCCTTTAGATGTAGACAGTCAACTGTTCTGTGAAGTGAGAAAAGTGTGAAAAAATAGGAAACAGATAAAGTTTTAAACTAGAAAGCATTAAGATCTTGTCTTAGGATCTTACTCTTGGATACCTAAAAAGCATAAACACCATAAGGTGACAGACTTTGATGCCAGACTATCTCCACTCACCACAAATAAGTACTGAAGATCTTTACAAATGAGAAGTAAAATCTGGCCTGCAATGGTGTATCCAGTCTTCTCAAGTGTATATAATACCTGTTCTCAAAACACAGGACAGGTTGTGATGTCCAAAGAAAAATACTCAGCCAGGACCTTGCTAATCTTATGCTCTTGCTACCAAATTGCACCATGAAATACTGGACAAGTCTAGACTGCCATTCTGGATTCTGACATCTGAGTGTAGGATTTATATACAGGTTAAGAATTGCAGATTTTTTTGCAGAAAGATTCCATATAAGAATAAAAAATTAGCATGTATATTGGGGAAATGATTAAATCCTGCAGGATGCCAATATTTTTGAATCCTGGTATAGATTTGGGAGATGTAATTGTCTATGTAGTTCTTTTGCCATCCTCTTAAGGTAAATATCCAAATGTCAGTGATCCATATTTAGGAAAGCCAAGGTGCTAGATTGAGTGTCTGTGTTGTGCAACACATCTGGATTGAAGAACTGTAGTCAGAGTGGCAAAGCGTTCTCTGATTCTCAGGCACAGTAATAAAGATTGTTACTAAGCAATCCAGCATGGCTCAAGTAGCCCGGAATCTCTTGTTCTATTTTGATGTATTGCTTGTTTGTTTTGGGACGGATACGGTTCAGGCCATTGTGAGTGACAGGAACAGCTACAGAAATCGCCTGTTTTGGCACTAGGGTTTTGCGGAAGACCAGAGTTTTGCGGCGGTGAGACACGGCATACTCCAGCCCTTTAACTAATACAAGAGGAAGACGGGCTTCCTCCTGAATTTTGACAGCAGCATCTGGGAGGAGAGAGGAGGGAGGCCTGCGGACCCCCCACTCGGAGAAGGGTGACCTCTCAGGGGTGCGCCTGCGGCTGGCACGGCTCCCGCGTCCGGCAGCGCGGCGGGACGGCGGAGGTGTGCGAGCGGGCGAGCGCCGGGGGAGGACCGGCAAGGTGCCGTGCTTGTGGCCCTGGGGCGGGGCTGCCGTGCGCCTTGCCCGAGCATTGGGTCTGCATTCATACATAAGTATAGCCGGGCTGGGCTCGCCACGCTCCTCTACCCCCCGCCCCCCAGCCCTGGAAGAGAAGGGGGAGAGAAACAAGAAGCGGGGGAAAAATCCCGGTGAGGTCATTGCAATGAGAGCGCAGGAGGCGAGCGGACAAGGTCGACTTTCCCGGCGGAGGCGCAGCCCTTAGGAGCGCGGAGCCGCGCACCCACCGCCGGCCCGGCACCTTGGAGAGCTCCGCCGAGCCGGGGCCGCGCCCGGGGCCGCGCTCGGGGCCGCGCCCGGGGCCGCGCTCGGGGCCGCGCTCGGGGCCGCCCCGCCGTGCCTCGGTAGCGCCCGCCGGCCGCGGATGCGCCGCTCCGCCCCGGCTGCCGGCGAAGGAAGAAAAGTTTGGGGGCGACTTAGGGCCGCGGGAGCGCCCGAGGAGGAGGAGGAGGATGCGCGGTTTCCCCGGCTGATCGGGAAGGAAGGATGACCGAGGGAGGATGTGCACCAGCAGCCAGATCATCGGGAGCCTCCTGGTGCTCTCCGTGCTGGAGATAGGGTTAGGGGTGTCCAGCGTGGCCGTGGGGGCGGTCAGTTTCAGCCTGGTCCTCACAGAGCATAAACCTCAGCTGGGAGACTCTTCTCCGGTATGGAGCGGGGTGTGTGTACGTTAGCCATTTCACTCTCTCTTTAACTCTTTATGGTGATGATCAGACCGTGCGAAGGCATCCCCTTTTCCCTTCCCTTCCCTTCCCTTCCCTTCCCTCCCGCGAGTGCATGCTGCCCGACGGCGCCGGGTCCATTTCCGATGTGCTTGGGGTACGGTGTGCAGAGTGGTGGGCGAGGGGGAGGCACGGCGGGGACAGATGTGTGTGTGTGTCGGGCGGGGGGAGACCTCTTCTTTCGCGCTCCTTTCCATTTTTCAGTCCTGCTGCGAGCAATTGAACTTTCTCTGAACCCCCTCTCACACCTGGGAAAGCCTGATGTTTCGATGTTTCGCGTGAAACCCGGGGCGTAGCTTAGGGTTTTTAAATTGACTGTGAGTTTTTCTTTTTAAAAAGAACAGCCCTGTCCATGATGAGGAGACTGTCAAAAGGTGCTTTAAAAAATGTCAAGGGTATGCTAGCTAAGTCCTGAGCTTTTGGAGGAAAAATAGGAAGAGGCATTGGGAAGGAAAAGGAGAAAGATGTTCTTGTGTATGGGGTGCCCTGAGCTTCCTGTAAAATGTACCAAAAAAACCCCCAAAAAACCCAGTAATGGGTTAATAGAAGTAGCATGTTCATATCACAGAGCATTTCTCACTTCTCAAAAATGTTTATTTTTCTCATTTGAGATATGCATGTTTCTAGGAAGAATTTTCCTCCAAATGGTTATTTATATTTATGAAACAAAGAACGGAAAATGTTGAATGTTCAGTCTAAACATGAGTGGGCATTTTTGACGTCCAAAGCTGGTTTTGGCCAGCTTGTATTGTACAGCAGTATTTCTAAAAGGATTATTTGCTTTGCTTCAGATAACATGATAAATGTAAAACACTCTTGATTATTCACCAGCGTAACCTCCTCTAATTTATATATTCATTCAGACAAAGTGCTGCATGTTATATTCCCACTGTCAATAATTACTAATTCTTGACAAAAGTGATAAATATTTTTGGCAGTATATAAACACATATTTAATTCTGCACTGCAGAACAGGTAGGTGAGAAATGGAAATGAAGACTAGATCAGACAGGAAATGATATTACCAGGCCAACAGGTAATGATGATATCAAAATCACTTAAAAAAGGGAGGCTTCCAATCATTGTAAATGAAGAAAAAAATTGCTGAAAACTATGTGTCTATCTGATGATTTAATGGCAAAGGTCAGTTTCCTGGGTTTCAGTGAGGTCAAAGAGCTTTGATCAGTCAGTGAGATCAGTACTTTATGCAGTGATTGCATTTTGTGACAATGCTATCACAGCTGATATCATTTCATGACGATGCACATTTCCTGCATAACTGCCTCATTCATTTTATGCTGCTACTGCAGAGTTTGTACTAGGCATAGATTAAGATTCTATTAGATTGGATGTTGGCTTCCAAGGACATTATAATCGTAGTAAAAGACAGATAAAATGTAAAAGAGTGTGAGTATGAAGAAAAAACAAACGGAAACTGAGTGGTATAACAGGTGGTTGCATCAGCAGTCTGGCTGATTTAGAACTGTTCATAGGTGGAGTTTTAGAGAGGAATAAGACAGAGGAGAGTGAAGGGGCTTTGCAGATGTTTATAGGAAATTATTCTCATGTGTGACTGCAGAGGCATGGAAGGTAAACCAAAGGGACTTGTTTGCAAATGTAACAAGTGGGCAAAAGATGCTGACAGCCAGAGCCAGCAGAGGCTGACATCCAGTGCTGGGAACTGAGCAAAAACTGCAGCTTGGAGAGGCAGAGAGAGGCCTCAAAGAAAATGCAAAGTGGAAGCAAGAAGCTTAAGCTTCATGTAGAAGAGGAAATGAGAAAATCAAAGTGATGTGCAGCGTGGGGTGACATGTTTCTAAAGGCTGACTTACTTTTCCTTGAATTAAAGATCTGTGGTCTAAATTGTCACCATTATACCTCTCTCTACTGCTCCAGCAGTTCAAACTGTTAGGTTGCATTCTTCTAACTAAGGGACTAGCAGGTGAAGAAAGGGGGCAGAGATTTACTGTTTTCCAGGGAGATTTACTGTTCTCTCCATGGCTTTGGGCCATGAGTAACTAGTTTCAAATTTAAACAATTGGACAAAGGATTGTTTAGACAACCTTCAGGACTGTCCTGCTGCAGAAGTGGCATAAGCCTCCTTTCTGCTCACTGTAGCTTACACTGATCTTGTGTTGCCTGTCTTAAAGGATGTCATGCGTAAAATATGTTATTTTTTTCCAATTCACATTCTTGAATAAGGGTTTTCCTTTGAGAAGTGAACACTAAGGAAAAGAAGGGGACATTAAAGAAAAATTAATTCTTTGACATGTTAAAATACAAAACACTTAAGTTGAACAGTGTCATTCCTCCTGTTGCAATTTACTTGGAAATGCACAGAAAACCTTTGACCCTGTTCTATCCCTTTATGTGGGTGGAACTCAGCAGAGACCCAAGTTCATAAGGAAGTAGATGAAGATAGCATCACCATGGAAACCTTAACCTGAATTCCTAAAATTTGGGCATCTTAAAAATCATGCACATTCTATCTTCTATACTTGCCTCCCTATGATACTTTGCACTTGACAAACGTTAGCTTTTCTATTAAGAGTAGTTCTTATTGTTCACTGCCTTCATTCAGACAGATGATTTACTAACACACTTCATTTTAACCATGTGAATTCCATCCATAGCACTATGGATACAAGCAAAGTAAAGCACGGGCTGAAGTACCCTGATCATTGCATGCCCTGCACTATGTACAAGCAAGCCAGGGAAAGTAGAGGACACCAGAATGAAGAAATTTAAAGCATAGGTAATGCCTGCATCAAAAAAATACATAAAAATGGGAAAAAAATAAGTCTCAAATCTGTTGTTCTCATTGGAGTTGAATTGGATTAAAATAGTACCAGTTGTTTAAAAAGTAGCCATAAGAAAACAACTGAAGGTGTGACTATCTTCTCAAATTGTCTGGAGCATGTGGAGACAACTATCCAGTTTACATCATCACCAATCTGTTCTTTTTAAAATAAGCCATGGCTGTTAACTTGCAAAAAAAATGCTAAAAACAAAACCAAACCCACAAAAACAGTTCCAAATACCCTAAAGTGCACATGTTGTTGATTTCTGAATTTTATTTCTGTTTGTTATGTTTGTACTGGGATAAACTATTCTACAGGCTGTAATCAGTGTCTCCCAGATTTCTTTGTTTCTCAGAAACTGAGAGATATTTCTGAAATCCACCATTCCAATTCAGTTATATGACATACTATAGAATAATTCAACCAATGAGAATGCTGAACCACTAACAATAACGTAGTAATTGTTATGAATGCACTCAAGAGAGTGATATGGTTTAATCAGATAAAAGTTTTTATTAATTATAGCAAGTGACACAATCATCACAGTAAGAATGACAGCATCCATAGCAAAGGCTTTTGCACAAACAACAAAAGTCAGAAGACAATCAACCAAAAAGTATTCACAGATTTTTTTATTTTATTTTATTTTATTTTATTTTATTTTTTATGGTGACATACTTCTCTATCTATATTTAGAACATAGTGGTTTCATCACTATCACTATGAGTAGTGAATAGATAGTCACACACACACACATACATGTGTATGGCTCTAATCCTCATTTATTCTGCAGTGGTGAATAAATCCTTGCTGTAAATGAGTCTCCCTCACAGAGAGAGAAGGGGAGACGAAAGCCACATCTTTAGACAAATATGCCATCTATCTTCATATGCGAGAGAGTTACCCGATGATTCACTTATGGCTATGCCCCCAAGAGTAATAATTTCCTCCCTTATAAAGCAAATATCTGAATGTATTTGAGAGATATGCACTTTCTGTAGTGGTCTGTTTGCCTGTCTGTAGATAGAGGCAGAATTATTGTCTCCATGATCTGTGATTTTATCACAATGGAAGTCTGCCTGCCCATTAAAAATCTGCATTTGGCTACAGAAATTCGTTCCAAGTTGGCACTTGAAATATTAGATTTAAATTACTTTATTTTTTTTTTAACCAATATTTGAAGGAAAAGATAAAGCATCAGGCTGGATGGACTTTCCCAGAGCAAGAAAAACTTTTTAGACTGTTAAATTCGACTGTTGGTGGCCTAAAATTTTAAACCACTAAATTTTACATCTAGATTTAACTGTTGCCAAGTTTAGTTTGGAAAGAACAGTCAAACTATTTTTTTTTTTTCAAAAACAGCACTAAAAAAATTACATTATTGTTTAGCATGCAACAAAATGAAGATGTGATCCTACTTTATTTTAACATATGCATTGCATTTTCATCAAACTGACCATATTTCTGTCTGGCTCCCGCTCATGATGAAATGAATCACAGGACTTTCAGTGAGCTCAGTAGAAGCTGGAAAGAGTTCTGTACCTAGAGAGGGGAAGGACATATCAAGGGTGGAAGCTTCTTGCCTTGCATGGAGCCAGGACAATTCACTGTATTCAGCTGAGGTCTTTCAGTAGGTTTTGTTTATTATTTGGAGACTCCAGAGGCACAAACCAAGCTGGAAGATAGTCCATCTAGTTCCTGGGTTGTATTTAGAGGATCTGTTGAATATAGACTGACTTAAGCATATGCTTAAATGTTTTACTACAATGAGACTTTAATTCACCTGCAAGGAATAATCTTTCATTTTTTAATTTTTTGAGTTAAGTAAGCACACTCTAAACCAAATACTTGATACAAAACAAACAAAAAACTTTATATTTATTTGTTATTCTGATAGGCACTAAACAAACAAAAAGTAAACATTATTCTTTTGCACTGAGAATTGTGTTTTTTAGAGATGGAGGTTTTTTGAATCACTGACATCAGGTAAACTTTCAGATTCAGAAACACACTTCTTAATTTCCTTGATTGTTTATAAAAACCATTTCCCATTTTTAAAGCATCTCTGTAAGTCTATAACCAGATGAGTGGAAACACTAATCATAGGGACTGGGATGGAATTTAAACTGCTTGCATATGGCT